CAATTCCTTCAGGCATTTTCTTGTGCGATAAACCGATTTTACCATGGCCAATACATTAATACATACTCAACTGTATGGGGAATCGAGCAATCAAGTATGATTGTTGCATCATGGAGCTCAGCAAGCCTATGAGTTTTGTCTACCTCTTCTCGATTATCCTGAAATTGTAAGCTGGTGCGTTGAATACAAGAAGATATTTTCTTCACAACCTATGAAGGGAAATGAAATAGAACAGCTTGAGCAACTCTTTTGGATCAAATAATAGTGACCAAAGGGCACTAAAACGGTTGACATGCACCTACATTAATCCAGATTACATGACACAATCTTTGAGTTTCTACTTGTGAATTTCACACTTGGTAAGGGTTGAGGAATTGGGAACCAAACCTCAAATAAAGTTAGATCCTTTGGTGCCTCGAGAGCTCTCTCTCTCTTTGTTCCTTATTGGTTCCTTCTCATCTCTATCTTTGTTGAAGTCTCTCTCTATTTTAGCATGCCAGTTGCCTTACAATATTGAAAATCAAAAAATTTTGTATTACTGCCTTCAGTTAAAATAATAATAATGAGCATAGCTTATTTCTCAACATAGGCCAAACACGATCTCTTGCCATATACAGCGATAATCTGCTTATTCTGGATCATGTATTGTGTGATATTTTCGGCTCTTGTGACTCGACCGCACAGTGCCCGTGATATATTTGAGGCAATTAAATCCATCGTCTACTTGGCCGAATTGACTTTTTACCATATGTTCGGTGAATTTCAATTTAGCGAATTTGTTGGTCGTTTTGGTAAGTTTATTGAATAAAAATCCTTGAAAAAATATAACTGTGTCGTAGACTTCATGTAACTATGTAGAACTTTTCTTACCGGCGTCACAACTTTGTTCGGGTTTGCATAAAATCCCCCTTTCAATGTAATGGCCTTAAAGACCTACAGGATAAAACACATTTTACCAAATCAGATGGAAAAGAGTTGGATTGAATCAATGGTGGAGAGAGTTATTTATATCAAATGGCAGGCGTTTTGATAGTTATCATTAGCCCTTTAGTTGACTTCAGTCCTAACAGAGGGGAAGGAATATCAAAGAGACAAAATTGTCGTGCGAAGGGGGGAAGGGACAGAAGAGTGTTTCAAAGATGTAAAAGAGACAGGCACAAAGGTGGAGTAAAAGCTGAGGTGAGTACTGTAGAAGTAGTCGAATATGACGTACAGTGGTGGTAGTTTGTAGTCAGAAGTCAACTGCCACTTAATAGACTTTTTTGCCGTATGAGTATATTTGCCCATGGTGCACCACGTGGAGGTAAGTCTACCGCACATCCCAATGGTGGGGAGAGTAATGAAGGGTAGATGGGAGATGGGGGGGGGAGGGAGAAGGAGAGGAAAGATTAGTGGAAAAAGGGGGGAGGGTTGTTGGTATGACCCAGTCCATGCGTCACAAGGCCGTGCGTTAGTCATCGTATTTGTAAATCACATTTTGTGCAGGCACTTCAATGTGACACTTGGGTCAAAAAATCTCCACTAGGGTTAGTATAAGGGACAATAGAATTTGAAATACACCACTTGGCAATTTGTAGGTTTGCTTAACTTTAGCACACACTTTACTAACTCACTAAGAGGACAACACCACTCAGTCCCCCCTCCCCCCCTCCTTGGTGTACTTTATTTCCTCTTTAATCACAAATCCAAGCTTGTAAAAGCAGTTAAGTTACGTAGCCCGAACATCTACAAACAAACACCCCACTGGTCTATCTCTACTCTCGTTTGTTTGATACCTCGAAAATCAAAATAATTCTTACAAGCACAGTAGCTTAACATGGAACAAATAGTTTAATTTTCAGCGAATTGATTAACAGATGCATAGCGTGAGGTGGAAAAATTTTACGCTTAACTAAGAGGTGCTACAAGACAACTAAAGACTTTGGTTCGCATTTACGCAGACAGCAAAACGATTGACTCTAAAATGGTCAAACAGTGTGTATCAATCAATTATGATATTTTTTCACTTTAGAAACGAATTTATGCACCACACCCTACATTTCTGGCTGCACCTATCCAACCTACATTGTGACAGTACCTGTTCTTACGGGAATTTTCACAATATTAACCAACGTTATGCTCATCAATATGCTGATCGCTATTTTCACGTAAGATGTTTTTATTGTGTGGAATACACTTAACAAGCTACTGACATACAATTAAGTAAAGCTAATTCACGTTCAATAATTGTTTGTTCACCGAATCATTGAAACAATGTACCAAATTTTGTTATTTATAATAGGAAAACTTACGACGAAATGGAGAAGATAACGCAACAACTGTGGACCATGCAACGATATCGAATAATACAGTACATTCTTACCGAATCTGTACAACCTGGGCCCTTCCTTATCTTCTCGTTCGCCTATCAAATTATTATGTACATAAAGAATCCTGAAGCTCATAGGAATTCACAAAAACAACGAGCCTTCCGTAAGGATCACACCGCTTCGCTTTCATCCTTCTTTTATTCTCTTTCAGTTTATATGACACCCTGGAAGACAGGGAGAATGAGCTCTTTATTAAATTATTCAGACCCCAAAGAGTTAGGATTAATATCGTAGCTTTCTAATTGAATGTTTGAGTGTGTGCCCTTTTTCAAGTGGAAAATTGTAAGGTTATGGTATAGCTTGACTATGGAAGTGCTCATCACTTCTGGTTTTGTTTGCACATTGGGAAGAGTTCGAAAATTCTTTACCTGACTGATATACTGTGACCTTCTACATCGTGTCATTCATCCTTTTTATTTCGAAAGTGCAGTGAGGAGAATGGTAGTAGATGAAGAGTCGTTGACACCACCACCGATGAATGATATTGGAAATAAAGTCAAGGTGGGAAGCGAATAGAGAAATGAAAATGCTGGAAGAAATGGTCCTTTGGGAAAACTTGGAGGACTGAAAACATTGCAGGGGTTTATTGGAAAGATTTGCATCTCTTGCAGATAGTAGAGTTTTCCTTTTTTAAATTTGATCTACAGGGGGGGGGGCAGGGGGTGGGGTATTAAAAATGATGTCTTTCCATTCTGTTGAATGACCGGTCTATGCACCTTTGTCTCCATGGTTATTTAGACATTTATTTCGAGTAAACACTATCAAGGTGTAAATAGTCATGTCTTTGCATGTCTTCATCCCCATTGACTATTTCCATGTAACTTGAAGGTAAATCCTTCGAGGATGACCCAGGTCGTGAGCGACAGTTAATCAATTGGGAGAAGTTGAGTGCACTGATTGAAATGGGAATGCAAGAAGCTGAAGAGGTATTCGAGGATTCTTCAGAAAGAAATTCACATCATTCCAAGAGACGCAACGAAACGTTAACTCGAACTTTAGCTCGTTCAGGTCGCACATTGATGACTCCAACTGTAGTTTTTGACAATCTTGCCACACCGAACGAAACAGCAGATGGTTTTGAGAAGCAAATCAGTAGTATTGAATCAAAGCTGGAGAAGATAACTAACATTGTGAGTATTGATTTGATTTCCTCGATATGGCAATAGATTCTTGTTATAATGCAGTCTAATCTGACAACACATATTTGTTTTTACCTTTTGAAGCTTTCTGATAAGGGTGGAACTTTCTTGCCTCGAACACCACTGAGTCCCAGTCGAAAAGGTATATTCCTTGAAGTTTTTTTAAATTTATACGTGTTCGGAAATGTGTCATTTCCTCTTCCATTCTCTCCTAGTTTCATTGGCTCCTTCAAGGGTTGAAAGCAACGTTTCCTCATTGGCCATGAAAGACAGTGAGGATGGTCCAATTGTCTTGCAATGGTTGAACCATCAAATAGCAATCTTCACATCACTGACGAGTGAGATTACTCCCCATTCTCTAGATCCGCCAATTCCGTGGGAAGTAAGCTCGCCTCCAGTTGATTGATTTTAACTGCACAATGTTAACAAATTTATTGTTGAGACTCCGTTGAAAGCCCCCTAACCTTTAAAGTATATGCCATAAGTAGTGTCTGCTAGGATCTATGGAGCAATGGAAGAATGAAGTGAAGAATTTATCAAACGAAGGGGAAAGATAGAGTAGACAACTCTGGATTGATTAACCGATTATTGTGACACCAAGTTGTGATTGTATTTGGCTGGCTTATTTAAATTATGTGATAGATGCATTAACTCCAGTGAACTCTCTTAGTGTAATCACTATTCATGGCGTATCTAAATGTGTGCTATTCTGGTTCAGGGAAAGGTAGATTTGGATAAATCAAATAGTCCCATGAAGAGGGAAAGAGGACCATGATAATGAAGAAATAAACAATATTACGAACTCATTAGGTTGTGTAATTATAGTCATTCGGTACATAGAAATCGTTATTTTGTGACATTTCTGAAGATGATGAAAATGTAATATCGATTGACTTTGTAGTAAATTAAAGTATTTAATAATGTGTATTTTACTACACCAAGGTGCCCTATCCAAAGTACAATCCAATTTCATGGACCCCTCGAAAATGCATGGTTGTTCACTGGTTAAGTAGAAATGAGTCTCTAAATGCGGCTAAGCCACGCAAGACCTCCTTTGCCTCTTCAACTGGCAGCAATGCCGGAGAAGATCACATGAATCCAGAAGGTCGAGTTGGAACAAAGGGAAAGGGATTGCTTCCAGAAGTAGGTGAAAATGCGGCCTGCGTACTAGTTGTTACTCGTGGTGCAAGTGATGAAGAGATACTTGTTTTGAAAGGAGTTCATCATCACGCTCAATTTCCCTGGGTAGGCCGTGGTTCTTTTGACCTAAGTTGGCCTAATTACTTTTACTAAACTGAATTATCGATTTCTTTGATTCTAGTTCCTCTGTCTTCATCCTCAGAGCTGCTCGCAAGCAACGTGTTATCGTGGACTGATTCGACTCTTTTGTCAGTCAACAATAAATGATGAGGCAGTCCATAAAGTCGTCATTGATGATTTCGTTGCCTACTTTGTTAAATATGTGGGTATTTTTGGACTTGCTTATTTGCATCTGCCTCCACAGAATTGGGCTAAAAATAGGCGTTTTGTAAAATTTTTAGGCGAAAATAGGAGTGGTATCGGATCCGATAAATTGTGATAACGCCTGGATCAGTATTACAGCGATTCATATTCAAATTCCAATGGAATACAAATTGGTTGAGGAGATAGAACAAGTGAGTTAACTATTTGAAATATTGATAGCCTTGACATTTTTCTCAAGTTGGTTCCATGAGAGTTGAAGTGAAATTTTAATTTTAAATAAGGAATGTGATTCCGCACGTATTAATTCTCCTGGTCTCCCAGTATCTTCCCAAATTTGAGTTTATTGGTGGAGATTAATATGACTTGAAATTCAAAGAGGGTATGAATAGAATTTATATCTGTTTTGCTAAATTGAGTGTGAGCACATGCAGTCGGAGAGATAATTAATTTCGCCACAAGTTTAAAAGAAACAGAAGTTTCGCTGAAACAACTTGCAGATAGATATCTTCACTCCAGTTAGCATGTCTTGTGAATGATTTTTGTTTAAAATGCGGAGGTCTATGCTTTGTTTGGTGTCATATGAAAGTCACTGTGACCTTGTGGAAGAGAATGCACTGACTGTTATTATGGCCATACCACTCTTCAATTATGCAACGTATAAACCCCAGTGTCCTCAGAAAGATAGCAAATCTCGACTGGATCATGTCTCAATACATTGCCTAGTTACATCAGAGGGTGGAAAATAGAAGATTCAAGACTCAAGTGTGTGGAAAATGAAAAAAATCACTTTAACACACATTGAATTAGTGGTTTTGAAAGTATTGCCTTAAAATTTGATTAAGAAGCTGAAGCATCTCAATCGATTGGAAGTGGCCTTCAGCATTGTAGAATTCTGTTGCATCAGTTGGTACAGATTTGCGTGAATGACAGTAGGAGTAGATGGAGCAATGACGTGCTCACAAGTTTCAATAGCCTGTTTATGTATTGCGAATTGTACAACAAGGAAGGTAGATGGTTACGTTCTTTCCATTTTTTCTTAGATGCTGTCGATACGAGAGTGCGCGGTTTTGTGGGTTCCGAGAGAAGAGTTACCGAAACTTCGAAAAAGTCATCTAGAGGCTATGGAAGCCGTTATTTAAAAGCTTTTACGTGAAAACTCTCAATTTTTTCTTTATTTACTTATATTATTATATTTTTCCGAATGACAGTCTCGTTGTTTCGAAATTTTTTCTTCTTTTGTGATTGGGCCTCTCACATTCAGTTCATGTCATCTTTGTGGGCATATTCTGCTTAACGACAAATTTTAGGCACCCTGGATACTTCATTGTTTTTCAACCCTTGAACTCCCTGCAGGATCATACGGTCGTCTTTCAAAATAAGCTCCATTGGTACTTGACCCCTTATTGAGGGCGCTCTCCCCGTTTGAAACACGCTCAATACGTGTCTATGTAGCCTTTGCTTGATACTCCACCCAAACTCATCAAGTCGGCGGGCATCAGTCTGCTGTGTAAGACACGCGTGAGTGCTGTTGGATGCATTTTTCAAAAATTCGGACGTTTAAAGATTAAATAAGATTTCCAATCACTCTAATTCATTCTCTGATGGATAAGCTGCCTTCGATCCAATGTTGCATTGTGAAGACGGTAGATATTTGTGTTTCCTATTAAATTAATCCGGCAAATGCAGTGAATGGGGTTTGAATATGTGCGATGAATTCGAGGTGCCGCCCTTTGAGAAATTATCTATTAAAAGAGAGTGCAACTGAAAATGCATTCTGAGAGAATTATGAATATGCCAATCACTCAGTGTGACTTTTGCCGTATTAATTACTTTAAGGTGTTTAGTTTATTTAATGACACAGCAGCGCATTTTTTACTGTTGTGACACTATTTTGGAGAGCAATAGCTATGCATATTATTGACAAATACTTTACAATATCCAAGCAAATATCAAAGTTGTGTTTGTCAATAATTCCAAATGGCAGGTATTTTGATAGTTATCATTAGCCCTTTAGTTGATTTCGGGCTTCACGGGAGAGAGGAACATAAAAGTGATAAAAAATTCGACAGGGGGAAAGAAGAGCGATTCACAGATGTAACAGAGAGACAGACACAAAGGCAGAGAAAAGGCTAGATGAGTACTGTGGAAGGGGTCGAATATGACATACAGTGGGGTGATGGTAGGTTGAAGTCAGAAGTCAACTGCCAGTTAATAGACTTTTTTGCCGTATGAGTATACGTTGCCCAGGGTGCACCACGTGGAGGTAAGTCTATCGCACACAGCATATGCAAAGTAATAAAATCATTAGTTTGTTATTTTTCTTCTCTTATATTGAAATTGAAATGAAAGAAACCCAAAGGTTAAGTTGGTGCTACTTTCACATATCTTCTTCAGTAACAACAATGCTCTTTATACAATTCCATTTAATTTCCAAATTATTTTTGCCGTAAGTAGACTGAAATTGTGGGATTCAAACATGTTGGCCAACATCTCGTTATTTCTCATGCATTTCTTTTAGATTTGATTGGTTGGAGCGCATTTGGAAATATAATCTAGTAAGACCTTGGATGACAACTACAGAATTCGTCATTGTCATAACATGTAGGCTATGTGGTGAGATGATTTTTGACCCATCAGTACAAATCCATTTCCGTATGCCACGCGTTTAAAAGTTCAAGAGGGCTTACCAACCTCTCTCTCTCTCCCGCGTTCATATCTTGGAGGGCGCCGTAAGGAAACCTTTACAACCACTTTATAGTGGCACTCAAACCGAATGAATTTATCCTCAATCGACAGATGGGAGCCACTACACCTCCATAGTGTAAACCACTTCCTGCAAACTCGTATTCTGTTTGGCCTGCACCTACTCATGCTGTGTCGGCACCTACGGACTCTATGGAACCTTCAACACCTCCTGTCCAGTTCTCATTTCAAGGAACTCGAAGCCCTACCGGTTCACTTTATTGGATCTTTCAAGCCAAATTTCTAGCACTCGCTATCATTATTTCCAGTAGCCATCACCAAATCCTACGAATTACTATTATTTAAGAAGTTGTTTTAAATAACTTATTTACAATTTTATTATTGCTTATTAGTTGGGGTAGATTTTTTTTCTCCAATTTTCGTTTATTATCGAGCAATTAAATTTGCAACTAATCGGATATTAGAATTAGGAAAATATAATCGAATTCATGGCTGGGAACCAAACAGTTTGTTATAATTTGATATTATTTGCACATTTTTTTGCATATGGACATCTGAATTAAGGCGGAATGTTTATTTATTTGTTTCAAATGGCAGGCGTTTTGATAGTTATCATTAGCCCTTTGGTTGACTTTGAGCTTTAAAGAGGGGAAGGAACATTAAATTGGTTGACTTTGAGCTTTAAAGAGGGGAAGGAACATTAAATTGGAAAAAATTCGAGAGGGTGAATAGAAGAGTGATTCACAGATATAGGAGACAGACAGCCACCAAGACAGAGAATAGGTGTGGTGTGTGCTGTGAAGTGGTTGAATACGACATACCGTGGGGTCATGGTAGTTTGAAGTCAGAAGTCAACTGCCGAAAAATAGACTTTATTGCTGTATGAGCATACTTTGCCCTGTGGAGGAAAGCCTAATGCGGAACGTAAAAGCACATGCTTTCAATGACCACTTGACTGTGAATCCACGGAGGGTCTAATGATAATAACAGTCGTAGATCGACTAATGATTTGCCCATCTCATTACTGAGTAGAAAATTCTGCAATCTCTTAGGTCGTTGGAATGAAATAGTTAAGCCCTTGGAAAGCAGTTGCTTTCATGTTCTTCAAATGTTCGTTTTGCACTAGAAATTATAAGTTTGAAAATGCTCGTATAAAAGTGAAGATTCGCTTACAGGTTGAGTCTATATTGTTTTTTTTCAATAACTCACAAATTCAGCTGAGGAGACACTAGGCTGGGTTAATTGCAAGTGTAGCTGGTGAAATAAAGATGGAATAAGTTAGTCTTGAGGAACACTTAAACCCTATAGTGCACACAATGAACTATTACTAGGAAGTCAGAGCAGTGCATACGCATTTTACAGTACGTTCATTCTTGAGCAAGAGCTGCTCAAGGGTTCGCTTTCAGCGTAACAATTGCAAAGATTTATAATACATCTGTGAATGTTGACCTCATCAACAAAGTCAATGCGACTGGAGGATATTCATAAGTTTTACATCCATTCAAAAACTAGAATTGAATGAGTTATGTCAATACCACTACGATTAATAATGACAGTATAAATGAAAGAAGAAGAAGAAGAAGTGATAGAAGTTTGCGATTGTGAAATAAAATAGGAGAAAATGGATTTTAACCGTCATGATAGACAATAAAGACTTATAGCATTGAATAGTTGCTAGGAGCTTGAACTCATTTCTGCGTAGACAAGGAAAGTCCGACTTATTTCTATAAATATGAATATGAAGAGTTATGACTAGTTATCAACGGACAGCTGATAAGATGAGCCACTTTGAATGGCATAATTATGGTATAATTGTAAACAATACTCAGAGCTCTGCCACGAAATTGAAACCTCAAGTATCATTTGATCGATTTTATTTTGATTTAAACACCTCCTTCAATTGTATGCCCTCTCGAAAACACGATTTCGAATGACTATGGGTTCATTTACAAATATATTACTTATTAATTTAAGTAACAGGCATGTTCAACTTGCATCGTCTGAAAAATTATTCGCTTTAAATCTTTAATGCTCTATTTTAATTAATAGCCCAAATAGGGTGGTGAGACTATTATAAGACATCAAGATTGGAATACTTTATTGCTGAAACAATTCATATTATCAGTCAAAATCATTTAATTCAAATTTAGATATGTAGGACCTATGAATGAATAGTGGGATACTTGTCACTGCAATTATTGTAATAATTTAGGGACTAAATGGAGCCACACTGTTAGCAACTGCTTTCTTTGTAATAATTGGGCATGATGAAGCAACTGACAGGCATTTATCACACCCACGACAATTTCCTCTAAAGCGCTCAGTAATTTGATTAAACTATGCAAAGGACAAATAATTATGTCAAAAAGGCACCCCTGATATAGTTGACAGCGACTGCTTTGCTTTAGAAGTAAACATTAAGCTGAGAAATTGATCTGAATTAGTCATTTAATGTGTCTCTTATTATTTGCCGAAATGAAATAGAAGATAATTTAATAATAATGGTTTTATCGTTTTAGCTGAATCGCACCAAAGGTCAATTTAATTTAATAAGTAAAGATGTCTTCGCGTTTAGCTTTAAATAGGCCCAACGGAAGCGAGATGATTTGACCAATCACAGATTTGTATTTTTTGCGGAAACTGTTAAAGGCCCCCCAAACTGGTTGATTTCTTTCTCTCTCAACACAGTGTTGGGGAAGGAGAATGTATGGTGTGGATAAACGTTAGTTACAGATACGAAAAATCTCCCAAAGCTCAATCAATACCTACAATTAACGCTAAGATAAGCATTCTGAGAAGACTCTATATACACACACACACATGCACGCACATCAGCCCTTGCTCACAACATCATCAGCAGCACTCAAACATTCTACAATATTCTGTCACGAATGGGATTAACTTGATCAATCTTGGTAGTGTTCGGTTAATGAGCTCCGAATAACAAGAACATAATCTCCACCACGGTCCTGGGCAGCAAATTATGAAATTATTACATAATAGCATCAGAGCATAACCTCCTAGCCCTTATGGGCACAGGAACAACCCTAATTTTGAGTGCTCAAACAAAGTGAGGCCGTTATTGATCGAATGTCACTGCCATTCCCTATTTGGAAACCGACCCATGATCAAAACTTGCTAATTTATTTCACTGTTTAATGGACAGCCGTAACCACTATTATCAATGGTATTGGAAGTTACTAATTTCATTCTTTTATTTGTTCTTCACTATTTTAAATGCGTATTAAAATATTTCCAATTTTTTAATAGCGGCAGCTTTTATGCTCTTTTGAATCGTAGGAAATGTGGATCACATTCCTAAATTGCTCTAAATCTCGATTTTCGCGACTAAAATCAAGGTTCTCAAGGTTAGATAATGGAAGTTCCTCTTTATGAGACGAGTTAATGCTGTGATTTGAGAATAATAGCCACGAAG